CTCAAGTCTGATTACCAAGCAGGTGGGAATGAGGTTCCTATGACCCAGCTCTGATAGAACAAGAGCTGGTGTGAAACCTTGCTCAGGGTGCACAGCAAACCCAACACCTCGTTGGGACTTAGATAAGTTTGGTTAATTAGATGAAAAGAAAAAAAAAGAAAAAAACCTCCACCCCTCTCACACACCCACACTCATCAATTTATTCTTCTGCCCTTTCTGGTGTCCCCTGGTCACAGCAGTGCCCAGCTCTGTCAGAGAGTGACTGTTCCTATGACATTTCTAGCCCACTCAAAGCAGGCAGTATTGGGATCCTGTGAAAGAGCCTCGTGACTTCTGCAGATTACAGCTTTGGATACTTCCTGAAGAGCATAGACGTCAGGAGCCTTGTCTGAACAGACCCTCTGATCCTTGAGGAGCTCACCTGTCTGGTAACTTCAATCCCACTGCTTTGCTATGCAGAGCCAAGGAGCGCGGTATGCTCCAGGGCGTCCCTCTCCCTGCCGCCCTACAGGGGGCACTCATTTCCACTTTGTGTGTCTAAAACGAGAAAAGCTGGCGTTCCACCAACATGGATTCTGTTGTTAGTAACCACCTGAGCGGTGTCATCTGTTCTCAGTGGAAAGCGCTCTATTCCCTAAAAGGAGAGTCATTTCAGAGCATTTAGATCAAGGTTTAATCTGTGATGTGGTACAAGATACATCTGTTAAAAGAACATTCCCAGCTTCTCCCCTGGCTATGCATCAACCAGATTTTAGAAGTGATGCTGTAGCAGGCAGGAGGAACGGATCAGGGGGAGCAGCACTGGCGACAGCGCTCGAGGAGAGAATGGAAGAATGTGCACCAGTAGCAAGGGACAGAGGCTTGACTGGGTAATCACTTGATGCTCCCCCAACCGGGTTCCCATCCTGTTTGATATTCATGGAATAAAATGTGGGAGGGATGGAGGAAACCCAGCACAAGACAATGTCCATCATCTGGTTAAGATACTTGGCAGGGTTAGGTAGGGGCCTCATTTCCTGTTCTATCTTTATTGGTCCAAATACTTTCACTTAAATGACCCCCCACCCCTTTGTTTAGTTCCTGCAGCTTGCGGAATGGGATCCGGATCTCCTCAGAACAGCAAGCAGATGCTGAATCTGACACACGGTGAGTAATTCCAGACTGAAAAAGCCCTAATGCCCATCTGGGTTCTGTTTTTTTTCAGACCCTGCCTGTCTGCGCTGCGTTTGAGAACGAATAACCTCAGAACGTTGGCAGGGATGCCACAGCTGATGCTTCACTAACAATAACAGCACCGTAGAACTTCCTGATACTGAGGCACAGGCCTCGTCAAACATGTAGATGTGAACACTAACAACCTGCCACTCACTAATGCAGTGCTTACAGGTGTCCAGGGAACAGGTACAACTATGCTTCTCCATGGCAAGCCCTTCCCTCCGTGCCCCTACTAACCTGCATGGTGTGGGTGCCTTTAAGAACCACGAGGACTGATCACCTGGCCCTTTTATACACCTCTAAGAACAGCTTTACAAAAATGTCTTTGGAGTGGCTGACGGACTGGAGCTGGTCACTGGATGGACTCCGGGACTTTATAGCTACAGGGATCCAGTCCTTCCGGGACTGTGACACCACTGCACTCACTGCTGTCGCTTGCCTCTTGGTCCTGTTTGTTTGGTACTGTTACCACGTTGGCAGGGAGCAGCCCCGCACGTATGTCACTGTGAATTCCCTCATGCAGAGCTCCGATGCCAATGGCTTACAGAATGGGTACGCGTACTGCCACTCCCCCGAGTGTGTGCGCTGCGCAAGAAACGATGGGCTTAACCAGAAACTCTATCACAATCTGCAGGAATACGCCAAGCGCTACTCCTGGTCTGGCATGGGCAGGATTCACAAGGGCATCCGAGAGCAAGGGCGTTACCTGAACAGCCGACCGTCCATCCAGAAGCCAGAAGTCTTCTTCTTACCAGACTTACCAACAATGCCCTATTTCTCACGGGACGCTCAAAAACACGACGTGGAGTTACTGGAACGCAACTTCCAGACCATCCTGTGTGAATTCGAGACCCTCTACAAAGCTTTCTCAAACTGCAGCCTCCCGCAAGGATGGAAAATGAACAGCACACCCAGCGGGGAGTGGTTCACCTTTTACCTGGTGAACCAGGGCACGTGCGTTCCCAAGAACTGCAGGAAATGCCCACGGACGTATCGCTTACTTGGGAGCCTCCGCACCTGCATTGGCAACAATGTCTTTGGGAACGCGTGTATCTCTGTGCTGACCCCTGGCACGGTCATTGGGGAGCACTATGGGCCAACCAACATCCGCATACGATGCCATTTAGGTATGTATCCAGCAGAAGCAGAGAAGAGCTACAGGTATTTTTCTTCCTTCTTTGTTGCTAAAACTGATGTTAGTTCTTCTAAGGCTGTGGAACTTAGTGAAGAGTCTGCTGTATTTTCAAGGTACTGAGTTCAAATCCTGACAGGTTTAGTTTGTTCTCATCAAAGTTTAAGGAGGATTTAGAGACCATCCGATGAAGGGTAAAAAAATTATACAAGGATTAGATTTGTATAATAATAAGGATTACCCTAAACTAGGATAGTCACAGAGGGGTCATGATCGCAGCGTAAAGGGAAAGGAGGGAATAATTCAGTCTCGGAAGATGCTGCTCAAGGCACAGTGGCCCAGAGCTAAGGAAGGAAACGTAAGCTCAGATTTTAGGAAACTGGAGTCAGAGAAACTGGGCAATGAAGTGACTCTCTGGGTGAGGGAGCGTCACTGCAAACACTCCCGAACCAGTGAGATTAACTGTTAGGATGGATGGAAGGGTCCTGCACGAGGCGCCTCTCTCTTTACTAGCTCTGAGCCTGCTCTCAGATTGCACACGATACCCAAAGCCACCGAGGAGCCAGACATTGGTATTTGTGTCTCCAGGAGCTGATCCTGGTGTTTTGCTAGGTTTTTTTTAGCACAATAGGAACGTTATGTAGGCCAGAGCTCCCACTGGGTGCCGCACCTTCCCTTCGAGATGCAGGAAGGGCTCCAGCCGCCCCACTCTGCCAAGAACTCTCCATGGCCTCTAGCTCAGCAACCAGGGGGATTTCTCCTCCTCTCCCCCACCACGTTTCTCTTCAGCCCTTTTAAAAGGGTATGGATAGACAACGCTTAGCTTGACTGCAGGCAGGGGGTGGGGACGACATGCTCACTGCCTGGGAGGCGCTGAAGTGATGGGGCCTTTCTGGGCTGCCCCAGACATTCCAGTTACTTCCACCTGAACCACGAGGGAACGCTGAACTGGCAGGGAAACTGGCAAACCATCGCTTACATACTACCCCCCCCCGGGCCATGTGCACGAGAACAGGATCTTAGTTGCTTCAGAGCCTGTGCCCCTCCTCCTGCAGCTTCATCATCTGGAGTGGGGCTGCTGTTAGTGACTCAGGTTTTGCTGCTGTGAGACGACTGTCGCGCAGAAGGGTCTGCCTCCAAGCAGCAGCCTCAGCGGGGGCAGCTCTAACGGAAGCTGCAGGAGCCTGTTTTTGTGCACATCAGCCATCCCTTTGAAAAGCAAAGGGAGGAGAGGCCCAGACAGCATCTGGCCTCTGCAGATTTGTCTCTGAGCAGAGCCCAGTACTTACAGCTCAAGGAGCTGAAAGCCTGGATTGCTGACAGTCCTGGGGAGAGCATGGCTGGGAAAGTGTCTCTGCTGCGCACAGCCAGGATTCTGGAACATAGAAAGCAATAATGTTTGTGGTGGGGGAAGAATCTGCTTGTGGCCCTGCTGGCACACCCCACACGACTGGTCAGCCACCTCTGCCAGGCGCACACACACTGGCACTTGCTTGTGGTTTTTAAGCTAGAGGCAAGCTTCGAAGCAGCTCTCTAGCCCCAGAGCTTCACCAGGTCAGCTAGAGCCATGCTCCCCTTCCCCCTTCCCTAGGCTAGCTGGGGAGCTGGCTGAGTCTGGCCAGGAGAGGAGGAACAAGTAGAGCTCCCCATCAACTTCCCCATCTCCTCTCCTCTAGAAGGGACAGGCCGAGGCACCTAGGAGCGGGATGGAAGGAGCAATGCAACTATTAGACACCACCTGCCAAGGCTCCCACCTGCTCAGCCTTGCTGGCTGTTTATCCCCTCCCATAAAGTCAGGGTCACAGCAAGGGGCCCGGCTATTGGCAATACAGAACCTACTTTTGTCAGGCCTCGCCCCTGGACTCCAGGCCTCATTGTGCCCCCCAGGGCGGGAGCCACGTGCCCAGCACTGCCTTGGGCTGGCCTCCAGGCTTCTGAACTTCAGCTCATCTGACTTGTGCACAAGCCAAGGGCCATTTGCAGTGTAAGCCGGTCTGCCCAGAGCCACTCAGGGAAGGGGAGTAGCCCAGCAGGGAACGGGCTAGCTCTGACACCGGGAAACAATGAGCAGAGCAGCACAGCCTGGGTTGTGGGCTCACTAGCGTCTCCCCTCCAGGTGGAGCTGAACAGTGGGGAAGATTGCGCCGGTAGGGCTGGGCCGTTCTACCCCTTCCCTTTGGCATTACCCAGACTCCCACTCCACATGCTCGGAGGTCTGGTGACAGGGCACCCCGGAGTGCTCTTTCCCTGCTTTAGTGCGAGGGTCCCAGCTCCCCAGCGGAGAGCAGAGACTTATGTGTGTTTAAAGCCCCCTAGGAGACCCTACCTTGCTCTTGTTCATTGGTCAACTTGCTGCAGCTCCCCGGTGTGCCCTGCCCCGGAGTAGCTAAACCTCTGTTTAGAGTGAGCTTGTGGCACCATCTCTAGGCTCAGGTTCCCCGGCTCCCGTCCCTGGATGCCCAATGCCATGAGCGGTGCTTTCTCCAGGCTTCAAGCCCTGAGGGGGTCGGCTAGACATTGCTAAGCCAGAGCCCAACGCTCTTCCTCATGCCCATCTTCTAGAACGGAGCTTCTGCAGCTCAGGACAGCGTGTGTGGAGGGAACCAGGTTTTGTTTTGCAGTCTCTGAAACGTACATCAAAGAAACATAAACAAGCCTGGCTCTCCCGGGCGGCTGGGAGCCCCTGCTGGGCCCACGTGTTTTTGGCACCAAAGTCAGTCTCCTGCTGTGGGTGTTCTGAATGCCTGGGGCTCCGAGCAGCAGCGGAACATATGCCATATGTTACCATTCGAGACTCAGGAGTGCATGGATCCCTGTGTCTCCCCCCAGTTATACAGTCTCTTGGCCCCATTGTAGCAGCGTGATCCCCAGGCTGTAATGAGGGACATTACTTTCACAAACCAGAAGGTATCCTCAAGGAGTCAGCTGCTTGCTGGGGGTCCTTGGTGTATTAATAGCTCAATAAAAGTACAATGTTCTCAATGGCATTGGTCAGTCCATAATAGCCGGTTTAGCTGGGGCTGCCAGGATTTCTACCCATCTAGGTATATGTAAGGCCACTGTCACCACAGTATCTGAGCACCTGGCAATCATGACTGGATGTTGTCCTCATGGCACCCCTGGGAGGTGGGGCACTGCTAGCCCCATGGTACAGAAGGGATCCAAGCCACCAGGCAGATTAAATGACTCGGCCAAGGGCACGCAGGGAGTCTGTGGTTGAGCCAGGAACTGAATCCAGGTCTCTCGAGAGCCCCAGTCCAGCGCCCTCCCCATCAGACCAGGGCAGAACATCTCTGCTTCCCTCAGACTTCAGATCCAAAGCCAGAGACATGCCTCAGGATTCCTGGGCCTTTGCTTTGGGCACCTTGCGCCTCCCGGCTCCCCCAAAGAAAGGAGTCTGTGGTATCGCGCTCGTTCATGGCAGGCATTGAATACAACCAGCCTTCAGTTACCACACAGGGTTGTATGGCGGTCAGGCACTGGCTTGAGGGGCGCCCTTGCTGAGCTGGGTGTGGGTGCAGGCCAGGACCGAAGTGCATTGGCTGAGCTGGAGGCCCACACGGGCACTGAGCACCTGCCCGAGTTCCAAGCACTGCAGATGGAGTGCAGCATTTCTGTCAATCCGAATTCTGGCTCAGCGCCAGCCCTGCTAAGAGCCATACACGTTTGGGACACAGACGGAAGCGGCTCCTTACTCTCCAGCCCTGACTGCAGTACAAGCCACATCACCATTCACCACCCCCATGCAGCTCACTGCTTGCATTTCATTCCTGGGGGTGAGAGTCAGTTCCCCCATTAAAAACATCACAAGCTCTCCTGAAACGTGGTTCGCTAACATGGCCATTAACCGCCAGGGCAGGCTGCCCTGGGCGGCTGCTTGTGGCTACGTACTGCACCTCGCAGCTCTGGCTTCAGGCTGGTGAAGCTCAGCATGATGGGAAAGTGATGCAATGGGGGTTGGAGATGCAAGCTCCCGGGCTTGGCCCCGTATTGCCACCTCTCAGCCCACGGCTCAGACAAAGGGTTCACCTGGGCCCTAAAGAAAAGGGAGGGTTTAGCCACCTAGACACAGCTCCCCTGACCCACATCTGTCCTCTTCTCTCTCCTGTGTTTCGTACCTGAAGGTCTGAAGACTCCCAGCAACTGCGAGCTGGTGGTGGGTGGCGAGCCCCAGTGCTGGGCTGAAGGCCGATGCCTCCTGTTTGACGATTCCTTTCTGCACACTGCATTTCACGAAGGCAAGTACAGCATGCCCAGCTCCTGCCAGGCTCACTGCTTCTAGACGCCCCTGCCGCCTCACCTCACTCAGCTATCGGCAGCCTTTAAAACAGGTTTACATTCAGGCTCCTCCAACCCAGTAAGGGAGGGATAAGCTGGGGCAGGTACAGCAGCCCCTCCTCCAAGGCCTGGAAAGGGTTGGATCAATGGTTTGGCTTTCCCTTGGTCTCCCTGCACTCCTAGCACTCAAAACCCTGAGAAAAGGCAGGAGGTTGGTCCCAGCCAATAACCAGAAGGGACTAGGAATCTCAATGAGGCCTCTTCCTTCCAGATTCTGCACCCAGCCCCCTCCTGCAGAGAGGTGTTAGGTATTTATCCAACCCAAGCCTTTTAGGGCTTGCACATCACTAACCCCCAGCTGCTCCTGGAGAGGGGCGGCACACACAGCTTCCGAAGAGCCCGGGGCCCACTCCACCTCGGCAGTCGGCTGCTTGGCCTGACTTGTGTTTGTAACTTTATTTCAGCCTTGCAAAATTGTCACAAGCATTTGCCAGCCCAGGCCTGAGACCTCCTTGTCTGCCTTTCCCATGGTGACAGGGAGCATGAAAACCTGCTCCGCAGGTGGGCAGACGTTTTGCAAAGCTGCTATAATAGAAATGCAAAGGGCAGCTGTGTCCTGATTCCCCACTTCCCCAGAGCAAGGTTCCTTGCCTGGGAGCCACCCAGGGCCACACAAGCTGCTTTTATGGCAAGTAACAGACAGCATCACTGACAAGTCAAGATGTGGCAAACGGTGCGAAGCGTTTGATATGCTTTGTGCCAGGTAGTCTCTTTGCCTCAATACAGGGAGGGAAGCTCAGACTCTACCCACTACCTCCCCCCCAGCCTCAGTGAACGCTCTTCCCCACCCCGTTATCCAGATCGTCTGCCATTTCCCAAGTACTCACGCTTGGTAGCAGGAAGCAGAGTTTCCTTGTGGGTCTGGTCTGACTCCTGCTTCAGGCACAGGTGCTCCTGCTGAATCCATCTCCTCTTCCTTGGGTCAGGTGTCCTCTGACTCTGGGCTGGTGCAGCAGGAAATATGGCTGGGTCTGCTGCTGCAGCTCTCTTTCCCTTGCTCAGGCCTGGTGTGTGCTCTCATGCTGCTCACGGCCCCAGGGGAAGGGATGGGAGCCCTGTACCTGTTTTATGTCCCTTTCCCTTCACTTGGGTAGAGCTGCTTCTCATTACTGGTTCACTTATGGGAGCTCTGCTGAATGAACCTGTATGAGTGGGTGATGGCATAGGAGCAGCTGTCGTGCTGGTTTACACAGGGAGTACTTTGGGGAGAGCGGGTGCTGCTCCCCACATAAACTCTCCTGCAGCAATGGGAAAACAGCCCATTCCCAGAGACCCGGGGGATTGCCAAGGGCAGATTAGCACGCTGAGGTTCCCAGGGCATTGCTCAGTTTATGGGACAAACGCACGAGTCTTGGCATTTGCATGCTAAGCAGCACCAGGTGCACTCAGTGTTTGGCTGGGAAACCTCCAAGGACATTTGCTGTGGTGCTGGTGACTCAGTAGGGGGCACCTCTCCCACCCACTCAGTACTGAACCAGTTCCACCACCTGGGGTGGGAGGGGGGCACTGTGCTGCTGGCAGGGCTCTGTTTCAGAGGAGATCCTGGCCAATGGTCAGTAAATAACTCCTGTCCCTTTGGGTTGGACAGCTAACCAGTGGGGCACAGACCTGGAGCCTCAGGGGAATAGACCCCCTCCTCCCCCCACTGTTCTCGCCATCATCTAGAGGGTCATTACATGCTGCCTCATTCAAATGCCTTATGCAGTTCCATGGACAGGCGGAGTTTCACATCCTGTTCCCAATGGTTCTGTGGCACCGCTGGGCATTGTACACGTGGCTGAACGTACCCACCCCTGCGGAGTGGAGGAAGGGGGCCCGTTGTACAACCATCAGCTTGAAGCTCTTGGGCTCCCTCTGGCTGAAAGACCCTCTCAAAGGTCTGGGGTGGCAGATGGGGCTAGGGGCCCCTGTGGTACAGACTGGTGGGGCGGGTCAGAGCCCTCTCTGTTGCACCATGAGTGTTATTGCACTGCTTGCCAGGCGGGCTCCAGGCTAGTTTCTGTCCCAGGGCAGGGCAGCGTGCTGACACCCTTCGTCAGAAGAACAGAGCCCCGCTGCCTGCCCGCTCGCTGTTCTAAGCACGAGAAGGGAGAGGTGTGCATGGGGGTTCCTGAAGCCAGCACAGTGCAGCACTGTGGCCTGAGCGCCAGGACCCCTGCTCGTGCCTCATGGCTGGGCTCTTGTGTTCTGTGTAGGTCCCCCCGAAGAGGGCCCTCGTGTGATCTTTATGGTGGATTTGTGGCACCCGAATGTTGCAGCTGCCGAGCGCCAAGCCCTTGATTTTATCTTTGCTCCAGGACGATGATCGTGCTTCTTTGCCATAGTGGGTTCGAGGGCAGGTGGCTGGCCTGCCGGGGCTTTGCCTCATGCAGCCCCGCTACGGTTCCATCTCCACCCGTGGGAGCCTGCCTCACTGGAAACCTTTCTCCTAGCACATACAGTGTTGGGTTTTCCCCGCTCCGGGGTTACTGTAAATGGAAGCTTCCAACTTGCATTAACTTACAGTCTCTTTCTTTCCATCATTGCTTCAGGGATTTTGTTCTGCCATGAGAGTGCATTATCTTCACTCTGTGATTTAGATGCGGTACCACTGTAGTATGTGTTATGTTGCTACTGTGTTTGCAGTGTTCAGAATTAGAGTAACAAAATCGAGGGTGTTTGTTTGAATGTAATAATGTAACATTTCTTGTGGTCAGCTAAGTGCTGTGCTCAGCCTGTCTTTGTCACTGTTTACAGTCACCGGGTGGACAACTCGGACAGCCAGATGGAAATGGCCAAGGAGCATGGTGGTCTCCCTGCTCCTTTGTGCAGAGCGCGTTCAGACCCATTGCAAACCCGAAGCTGAAGAGGGTGATGGTGCTTTGCAAACACACGCTCTGTGCTAGCACATGGCATGGGGGCTGTGGGGCCAGAGGCTTTTAAAAACATTTTCCTCCAGTGTGCGAATAGCATGGCAGGTGGCTGCCTAGGGCTGGGATGACGGCTCCAGTGCATTCGAGAAGAAGGTGTTTGGCCCTGAGCCTGCTGCCACAAGCCCTTGCTTGGTCAGATTGGCTGGGAACACACAAAACAGCCTTTCTGGTGCTTTCAGCTGAGCTGAAAGGGACCAAGGGCCTCAGCTCCAGGCAGCGGAGTAACTTAGATGCTGCCCGGGAGAGTCACACAGAAAACCTGAACCTTAAGTTTGACCAAAGGTTTTTGTTAATTGGCCTAAACCCCTCCTAGAGCTGTTACCTAACGCTTTCAGCACCCCAGGCTGGGATAGACACACCAGCTGGTGGGGCAAAGGGAGGAGTTGTATGAAAGTAGCAAGTAACCGCATGAGTTGCCCAAGCCCCCGAGGAAGTTGGTCTGTGTCTGGTTCTCAGTCTCCTCTCCCAGTGCACGGAATGGTAGAGCGTCAAACTGCCCTCCGCAGGGGGTATTTAATAACTTCTAGTTCTAGAGCAGAAGGGAAATCGCCTTCTGCCTACCCGTAAGAGTCGTGTCCACCAGCTCAACTATGTGTTTTTCTTGGAGAGTATCTAATTGTCTGTGTGTCTCAGTACAGAGCTAATGTCAGGTGTATAATGTGTAACACAGCATGTCATGTATACAGCCAAATGTACTTACTGTTCTGACTGGAAAGCAAATGTGATAACGGGTAACTGCTGGAGGAGGAAAATGAATCCGCAAGGATCCCTGGATTACTCACTACTGAATGATGTACAAGGGAAAGTATACACCTGAGTTCAAATGAGTTTTCTACACAGATTTTTCAGTGATTAAATTGCAAGATAAGGTAGAAGTTTCAAATACATGAAGTATTTTTACACAAATATCTTCTTAAAAGAATACGTGACGTGCATGATTTCTACGCACATTGAATACTTTGTGATAGAATTACAAAGGAAGCAGGCTGACTCGGTAACTGTGTTACAGTTTGGTACCAGTACATAAGGAAGACTATCAATAAACAATTGTGCTGAAAAATCGAACGGGCTGTGTGTGCGTGTGGGGGGAGGGGATTTCCTCCACTTGCCACTGAGATGGCTGGTTTGCAGTGAAAACCTGGTGCTGGCAGGTGGGAGGTATCGTACTAAGGAGAGGAGCAAGACCAGATTTGGAGCAGAAGCTCTAGGAGGAAAGACTACAGGGAAGCAGGCGTAGCTAGGACAGAGAAAAGGCCGCCACGCAGGGCTACACCTATACCGAGATGCTGTAAAGGGGACAGAGCAGCTGTCAGGCAGCGGACAGAAGAAAGACAGATTTAGTCCAATACCGAACACTGCTAAGCGGAGCATGGGCTGTAAAGCTCAGAGTAAGGCCAACGCCGCAGCTCCACCGGAGATGTGCCAGGTGAGAGCAGACACCATGCAGCCTGCTGAGGCTAGGACTAGATGCCACTGACTGCCACAGAACTGTTCAGACTAGCACCCATTGTTTCAGAGGAGTTGGTTTTTGGAGGAGCAGGAAAACCTCCAACCCCCAAACCCGCTCAGTGCTGATGTTTGACTGCAACCCTTCCACATGCAGGATGGCAGCGAGGGCGAGAACACTGCCCTCGGGCAGTCACAAGGCGGGGTTTGCTGTTCCGGGAAGGGCCAGCACTGCTCTCCTCCTCCCCGTGCTGTGGTGCTGCTGCTTAGCAGCTGGCATCAGGTCAGGCTGCCAGCACTGCGGCCGTGAATCCCATTGCGCTGGTAGTTAAGTGCCAGGACAGGCACGTGAGGGCAAGTGAAGCAGGACAGCACCACTCAGCCTGCCCCTGGAATTACCTCGGGGGGCTGTGGGAAATGGCAGCAGAGCCCAGGGCAGGAAGTAATTCAATCTATTGCAGTAAATAAATCTTGTTTCACTGCTTCTGCCTCAGCTCATCTGAGCTCATCTGCACCTGGTTACCCTCTAGCAGGACGCCCCACGTGCACCAGCCCAGACACACACACAGCGTGTCGCCCTCTGGACTCCTGGGGCTGCCTCAGCCTTCCCCAAACCAGCACTGAGAGCCACAGTGACTCTCGGGGGCAAATGCTGGGAGCCCCCAGACTCTTCTGCCGGGGAGCACCTGCTCCCTGAGGGGCAGTGCTGCAGGGAGGCTGCCCTGCTCCCCTCCCCATCACCCCCCACTGCACGCCATTACCCCACCCACAGCCAGCTGCCCCAAAGCCCTCCGATTGCTGGGGAAGCGTGTACTCCGCAGCCCAGCTGGAACCCTGCCATTCGTGCCTAGCTGGGCACCTCAGACATGAGCTGGCCGTGCGCACCCCGTATTCGCTTTCACATGTCTCGTGTTTGCACTGGCTGGGCAGCCTGTGCCAGGACCTGGGACTCAGGACACAGCTGCCAGTGTGGAGTGCCCACCCCTACCTGGCTGCCACCGCTAAGAGGTCCCACCACCCTGCCCAAAAGCAGCAGTGCCCACAGACTTCGGGCTGTGTGAGCTCCCTGAGCAGCTATGGTACAGTCCAGCAACCCCCCCGCTCAGAGAGCTATTACCATGCCCAGCAGGAACGAGACCCATCCCTGGAGCTGCTGCCCCCGGCAGCCTCTGCAGAGGCACATGGCGTTACAGTCAGGGCTGGGAACAGCCAGGTGCGGCGCAGCTCCAAGGGAAGCTTCAACAGCTGAGTGGATGGAGAATTCTGAACCTTTCCCCTTGCCGTACAGGGAGGGTGAACAGCAGCTCTGCTTCAACAGTCACCCAACGCCTGTGTCCCAGAAGGTCCGAACAGCCACGAGAATCACTGTGATCCAAAATGCAGCCAGCTCTAGGGTAGAACACGGCAGCAGCACGACTGCACGTCGGATGAGACTACGCTGCTCTTCAGCATTCCCTGCACAGCATCCACTCTCCCGCGCTAGTCACCAGCACCACAAGTACCAGTATCACCAGACACTGCAGGCAGAGCGGAGGGAGGCAGAAGGTAGTTACCCAACTGGAATCCAGCAGGGCTGATGCACGTGCTTCTTAGAGACATCACTGGCAAGTCTGCCTGTGCCTTTAATGACACTCAGCTGTGCACCAGCCCTGCCTGTCCCCTGTCAACTGTACAGACCAGAGCAGACACCATGTCCGTCACAAACCAGCCTGAGGTACACGGACCCTGAAGTCAATGCAAACTGCAGCTCAGGGACTGTGCTGTGAACTGGCAGAGCAAGAAGGTGGCTCAGAGGGGCACTGAGATCTAGTGGTTAGAGTTTGGGATTGAATGCCAAATCTGACTTCCACCCACCTGTTGTGACACCTTGGAAAGTCATCCCCTCCCTGCATCACTGACCACTTGGCCCACTGAAACCACCCAGGACTTGCATTTTAGTTCACTAGGAAAGGGATGGGCCTAGCTCCCTAGCTAGGTTCCACTGTCCTTGTGTCTGGGACCAGGAGGAAGGCTACAGACCGAGCCCTCTCCCCTGAGGGCAGCCCACTCCCCAAGGGGCAAGGACCCAACCCAAGCCCATCTCATTCTACCCATAGCACCCACACCCATGTATCAGTGCCTGGCCGCTGGGGCACTGTACATTACCATACAGAGAGCTAAGAGCCCACGGCTCGCCTCACCCTGCAATGTGGCCCCCAGAGCGACATAGCCACTGAGGTGTGTAGCTAGTCTGCTCCCATTTGGATAGGGCCTGAATGCACTCCAAGAGGCAGAAAACTGCGGCTGGACCCACCTGCCACAGCCTGTGACTTACAGCAACACCGTGGCATGTGCCTGAAGTGGTGCAGAGCATCTCAGCGATAGCCACACAGAACGCAGTCAGCAGCAGATGCAGAGCTAGAGGGCGGGGGGAACTTGCCAGCTGCCCCGATTTGTGTTCTCTATGCTCAGAGGAAGGGCCATCAGCTTGCAGGGAAGGGTTTCCCGAAGCATTTGGGGAAGCATGTCCAGCCCCCTGCTCCACTGCTTAAAGTCCATCAGTGGCCTTGGGTAGGGGAGGTCTTAGGAAGCAGCTCGCTGCATTGCTGGTCAAGCATCTGCTACTGAACAGTAAGTGATCAAAAGCACATGGGCAACTAGGCGAAGTGTCCCACACATCACTCGGCTCCAGAGGCACCAGGTCCGTTAGCAGGCCGGGAGGCACTCGCACCACTCTCTGCCCTCGCAGCAGCCGCTTTTTAGTGGTCATTTTTGACACCACTATTTTTTCATTTTCTCGAAGCACAGCAAACTCCAACTCGACACCCAGCGTTGTGCGGCTGCTGAGACAAGTGTCCTCTCCATAATCACAGGCCTGGGATGGGCCTCACTGTCCAGGCGTAAGGAGTAACGGAAAACAAGGGCATCGCCGCTGTGAGCGTGCCTGACAGATGGCACAGCAGCTTGTAGCAGATGATTTCTGAAGACAGCAAATTCATGTGTTTTCTTTCTGCTTCGTTACTGTGCAAGAGCTCCCGCCTGTCCCTAGTCCGGCCATTTACACAGCCCCTCACCGGGGCGTCGTTCCCTTGCTCTTCACGGATCTCAGGCACCCACTTACCAAAACTCCCAGGGTGGGAGGCTGCATAATCTCTCTCTAACATGTTGGGGCACGAGGGATTATTCTGGCAATCCCTAGCAGCTCAGAGACTTCCCTGCCTCATGCCTGAGAGAAAACCTGGCTAATTTGCTGGGGAGCAGCAAGGCTGTGGAAAGACACAGAGTGACCAATGTCTGCGCGGCATCAGGACAGCAGCATGTCAGAGGAATGCTGCCCATTGTGCTAGGGCTGAGACAGGGACAGGATTCTTTGCTCACCTGCAGGGTGGTCTGTGCTCTTTCTGGCTCCAGGACACGAACAGCAAGCAAGCTGGTTGCAGTGCAGGGAGCGGTGCCTTGGCACTGTGCCGACCTCACATCAGTCATCACTGCACGATGAAGATCAGCTTTTCGGCCCATGCCAGGAACCACAGCAGATTAGCTGCTAACATTTCTACACAGGGCACTTTCCACTCCAACTCTCTCAGCTGCTGGGCCAGCATTAGTGGGGAGCTTGGCAGCGGTTGGAGCAGCGAAGCCTGGCCACGGTCACCTGGCTGCCCTCTTGTCTGCTGCCAAAGTGGGAGCCAGACTCCACCAGACCCAGCAAGCCAGGAGCTGAATCTTCCCAGAGCTCACTGAGCCACCCAGCTAAGGGCTGCACAAAGATGCCCTGTAAACAGGCAACAATGAAAACGGGGTGGGGACCCCACTGGAAACCATGATTGTTCTAGCAGAGCCAGAGCCTGGGATGAGATTCACTAGGGCAGCATTTCCCGACCTTGCTCAGAAGGGAAGACAGCAAACAGGACTGGCCAGAGCAAGGTTCCCAGCACAGCTCTGGTCCGGCACCTCAGCCCTGGCCTACAGGCCAGTAACTCCTCTGTCCTCACCCACTGCCATACAGTGCTGGGCTCCCCACACACCTCTGCCACGCCGTCAAGAGGAAAGGCCACCGAAGGGTGATTTCGGGGGGTGTCTAAGCAGCAGAGACACCCCACTGAGCGGCACCAAAGTAACTTGCACAGAACGAGAGTGCAGCGCTGGATACACGTGGTACTGTGGGAGCCCACTGGTCAGCCAGCCCCCAGTGTTAGAAGTCACAGGTGAGAGGATCGTGCAATAAATAGGAGTCTACCATTTCTGACTAGTAGTGAATGGATGAGTCCTGTGGACTCCTCTTTATTTTACTTTTTTATTTCAACTGCCACATAGATGTTCATGCACAGAGCAGCTGCAATCTTTGAAATACACAAAATGGTCTCAGAGAAATGACAGGGGTCAGTCACGTAGCTCAGGTCTACACTGCCGTAATTGCTAATCTGATGCAATCCAAAAAGTTGCCAAAAATGGAGTTCAGTTTGTTTCAGCAAAGATGGCAGCTGCAGAGGAGCTGTAAAGCTTTTTGGTGTGATCAGCTAATGGGCTCTCGCCTTTTCGGCAAATACAGTAGAGCTGAATTCAGGGAGGTAGCAAGAAAGCAAGGAGGTAAGGTCAGCTTTGGCAGTAAAAGTGTCTTCATAAGGAGGAGTGGCAGA